CAGTTGAAGTAAAATAATGGAGCTAGAAGGTCTATCACAATATTACCAATTTCCGGACTTTTAACTGAACCATTCCCAATCATATTCCAAGATCTCATTACGTCCCGGACTTTAACCGGAATCTCTTCAACCTCCAAAACCTCAACCTACAGATGAGAGTAATCAAGACTAAACTGAAGCTTTAGTGAGGAATTGGGAATACACCACGTGCAAGCTGGACCACGGACTCGAACCGGGTGCTGTAGCCAAGGGTCGGGCACGGATGGGCTGGACCACGGACTCTAACTGGGTACTGTAGCTAAAACCAGATCACAGGTAAGCTGGACCACGGACTCTAACCGGGTACTGTAGCTAAGCCTGGAGATAAGTAAGCTGGACCACGGACTTTAACCGGGTACTGTAGCTAAGAATCAATATCCAACCATACGTCGCGGGAAATATCACCAAACCGATTACCATAAATAATCATTTCAGTCCAACTCTCATATACCCCAAATCGCCGAGGAAGTATCCAATAGTGAGTAAGCTAGACCACGGACTTTAACCGGGTACTATAGCCGATAGAAAAACAGGGCATTATGGATACAAGGTCATAAGCTGAGTTACCGCCTAGCTAAGGCTCAGACTATCAGACTCAAGTCTGCTATATCAGTCTACAAGGAGCTGACCGTCCGAAACGACGTCGGAAAAAGTTCTACTGCCCAACAACATCCGAAATCTCGCAAGTCTATGGCAACACTAGTCTAAGCCTAGACTAAGGCCAAACATACTTCAAATCAATATTATCATATACACCACAAGATATGGATATTCAATAATATTAAGAGACATGCTGTCATAATCCAACACTTTCCCGAAATAAGGTCTAAGGCAGGAATTATAGAAATTTAGCATGCTCGACACCCGAACCCCTCCATACTCAAGCAAATCAATAACAATTGCCTAAACATGCTCAATCTCACGAGAGAAAGCCATAGCCTACCTGAAAGCCGATCACGCGTGCTCCAGCTCACGGTACCGGATCTTTTCCTCTCCGAACGGTCTCCAAATGCTTCCCCTCTAACAAAAGGTTAATCACCTTGTCATTACGAATATATTGACACTAAAATTATATTTTTCGGAGACGGACCCAAAATCGGGTCTAAAACGGGATTGTGGGGCCCACACTTAGAATCTCAAAATCGAATCCGTGGAAACGTCCCAACTACCTTACTAAACTAATATCCCAAAATTTTAGCACAAACAGATGCCTACAACACCGCAAATCAGCCACAATAATTAAAAAGGGCAGCCCCTTGATCACCAATTTTCGGAAAAACGAAACCCTTTCAACCCAAACAGATTATACCACGACGATCCTTGCGAAAAACTTTACAAGTTAGCCCCAAGAATGACTTAAAACGGACTTACGATGATCAAGATCTCACATTTCAAAATTCAACAACAATTCAATCCGGAAATCACCCTGGCAGTGGCTAAAAATCGATTTCTTACCTCAAATGAAACCTCCCCTCGCGTTTCTGAGATCACCGCTATATTCCCCACGAAATTCTCTTGAAGTTAGCCTTTTTGAAGCACCTAATTTTGACTCAAAATGAAGGAGAAAATCTTATGTTGAAGTTGAGGGAAAAAAATGGACGAAAATCGTCCTAAAATCTGGAAATTTCCAGATTTCCCTCCGCCGCGTCAAAATTCTACAACCCTTCAAACTTAAATTTCGATGTTTCGGACTCGTTCGGAGTCGGAAAAATACAAACCATATATGGAATCTGATTGGAAACAATATTCCGGACTCAACGGTGAAGGCGGAATTTCCATTTTGGAGATTGCTTCGATGAAAAGTGGGTCCCACACCCAGTATCATTTGAGTCAGATTCCACAACTGCCATCTAAAGCCTTGGGAAGTGAACAAAGGGTCGTTCTAGACCAAAATCGATCTTCCGAAGCTAAATTAGCTGTCAGAATTTTCATCTGAGCACGACTTCCAAGAAAGTTGACCAAAGTCAACTTTTCAAGTTATAAAAATGACCTGGAGGGTCATTACACACATATATCTTTGTCCTATACACTTATAATTATACCATACAAATCTTCTCCTATTCAATTCTCTTTTGCCTTTCTCTCTTTCTCGGTTTATATAAACATGAATTATACAAAATACAATGTGTAATTTGTGTTTGTATAAAGCGAGAGAGAGATTTTTATATAAATCTATTTGAATACAAAAATATTACATATACATATACATATTTAAATACATATAATACACATATACATATACGACTGAATATCACAACAAAAAAACATATATACAAGAATACAGTTACATATACGTATACATATTTTTATGTATAAGTATACAAAAATATTTATCTAAAGAAATATTTGAAGCACAAGTTAGTTATATGTTTGTAGAAATACTTTATCGAACAGATTAAAAAAAACCCGAATTTTACTAGTTTAATTTGATTTATAAGTTTAAAAATCTGACAAAAATAATTTGATTTGATATATGAAAAACTAGAACCAATCCACCCATGTACACCCCTATCCACTTATACTAAAACAATGACACAAACGAAAATAAACCAAGAATTAAACTCCTACCACAACAATTAAAAGAACGTAAGATCACCAGATCATATGAATAGGAGTGGAGACTAAATTGAAGTGAAGACAAATAATTAAATAAAAGGGAAAATTACGCGTATAGGCAAACATATACTAGTTAATTACTTAACATAGCGCTATAGTTTGCCTTAATTACAATTCGCGATCTACTTTTAGCTATAATTACGCGGCTCAGCTTTTTAGTCTTCTATAATTCGCACGTTTGTATAATTCAGATTTTGTATAATATAATTTGTATAACTTCTGTATAATTGTTTACACTTTTGATGTTTGTAATGGTATAAATTCGTTATTTCGAGTTTAAAAATAATTGAATTATACAAATATACCCGCAAATTATACAAATCTGCGAATTATACAAACGAGACAGCTTAAACTATAGCTACAACCAGTAAATATGCAAACTATAGCTATGGAGTATAATTAAGTTTATTATAGTGGTTGTTTGCGAAAGTTCCTCATAAATAAAATTAGGGGTGTAAAACATGAACCCAAGTAACGGTAACTCGTTCAATCCGTCAGAATTCTAAGGATTGAACTAAAATAATTTGAATTTGATTTAATCTTTACTCATTCCAGCCGTTACCCATTTTAAGAAAATTTTCAATGATGAGCCCAATTTAATTTTCAGTTTCATTAAAAATAAAATGGAAAATATACAATCAGAGGAATATGTCATTTCTCTTAAGATAGTCATCTAAATTGGGACATAATAATTTTTTTTACGCCATGTGGCATATTTAGGGATACATAGTACCAAAAATTCATATTTAAGGGGATAATTAAAACTTCTCATAAATTAGGGGTAAATAGTTCCAAAAAATAATGTTTGAGGGGGTAATTAATAATTTAGGTGTGCATTTTATTAAATGTACAAAGCTTTAAGGGTGATAACTCTATTATATATATATTACTATCAAAAGCAGTTAACTCCCTCCAATTCCCAAAACGAAAAAAAAAAACAGAAAAGAAAATTTGTTCTGCAAAAATGGCCGGTAAAACGAAGAAGGTGCATTGTGCCACCATGAAAGCATCTTCAAAGAAGATGAAGATCTCAAGTCGTTCATCTTTGAACGCACCAGTAAACAATGATGTAGCTGCAATGGCGGGTTTTACTTTTCTTGTCTTGTTTGGGCTGATTTTTCTCCTTTACATTTGTGTGTTCTTGGCTCGATTTCCCCCCTTTTATTAGTGATGAAGATTCTAGGTAGTATTTTGGGTTGAGGATTCTATCAACTTTCACGAAAAGAAATTACAAGCTTCTACAAAGTAGAGAGTTATTGCAATGAAGATTCAGGTAGGGTCGAAGATTCTAACAACTTTCACGGAAGAAATTACAAGCTTCTACAGAGTACAGTGATCAGAATTCTTGAGCTTTGTTAACAGCTCAAATCAGTGCAGAGTTATTACAAAAGGTTTATTTCAATGCTCTGTTTATTTTGCTATATTCCACAAAAACAAGTCATGCTCAACTTTCGTCCCTCTTTATACATGTGTTTTTCTCAATGAAATATCAATTTTTCATAATCTTTTCAAGTATTTTATTTAGTATCTTTTTGTATTAACAATCTTTTGGTATGCATACATGTTTGTCAAGAACTTTTGTTGCCATAACTTTTTTTTAAAATATATTGATGTCTCTAAAAAAAAATGAAGAGTTGTGACTTTGCAAATGAGGAGCCTTAAAACAGGGGAGAGCTTATGAACTATAGCTCTGAAAATGGGTTTTTGCTTCTGAAAGTGAATTTTGTTCACAATTTCCCACTTTAAACCCTTTCGTTCACAAATTCGCCTCCAAACACCATTACATTTTGCTTTTATGAGAACTGATAAACTTCATAATGTTAATGGGTGAAACTCAGAAAAAATATACGTTTTCTTTTTAGTTTTTCATCCTGTGTTTGGTATACTGGAGCCTGACTGCGAATTCGCCCTTGACTTCTATTCATAAGAATAAATAAAAAGAATGAAGTTCCACTACGATTTGTAACGTAATCTATAAAAAAAAAAAATGAAGAAATAATTACAACTAACAAGAATCTTGGGTTCCCTGGAATTGCTAAAATTAACACTATCTTGTAGAGTAGAGCTAATTAATAAGATTTCTAGTCAGTGAGTCATAGTAACGATCAACAAGTGCTACCATGTAAGATGTCACTTGAACCGATGTTAGAATCGTAAGTATAGCAGTATATATCATAATATCTCCCCAATCATACAACTTTGCAATGTAGCCTATACGTCTTTTAGCAACTGCTTCCAATAGTTCATATGCATTTGATCTGCAGTAGGTAAAGGTTCATTAGCATATGAACCTTTACTTGCAAGGCTCTTGTAGTTCTGTGGACAATTGGCTCGACACTGGGCATTATGATTTAGCAATGTACGCACCACCTAAATCATCCTGCCCAGTGTCGAGCCAATTGTCCACAGAAAGGAACCATCCATTGTATGACTTCATATTCCAAATGGAAATCTGTGCATGTCCCCATATGACAACAAATGTAAGTTCCAACGTCCCAATTCGCACATGCAGAGAGTACTTGCCTAATAGGAAACTCCGCACCTGGACGTTCAAATAGTACTGCTATAAACTCTCCTCCACAAAATTTCCACCTCCAAAAGTAGAGATCAAATTAAGACAATAATATATAACGAAGTAAGCCTTGCTTTACGGGACTAGACCAAACAAGAGGAGCCTAATAACTCGAGTATATAGTGACTGCTTGGAGGAACGTACAACAAATTCCGTGAGTATTTTCTCCTCTCGAGTTAGACAACAAGAAACTAAGAAGATTGCAGTATCAACCCAACTGCATTTGTGTAAGCGAAAATCAAGGCAAAACATTAATTATTTAGCACAATTCATAAAATTTACGCTCAAAAAAGACAAATACAAATTATGAATGTGACACAAATAATGATTAAAAATATATATTTTTGGTCTCACATCACTATACTAAAAAATCATATGATAAAGAACTATACTAAAAAATCAAAATATTACGCATATGATTTGGTCAATTGACCTACATATTATAAAACTTATATTGAAAAACATAAACATCTTAATTAGGGAGAAAATCTCTCCCTAAACAAAACTCTTAAACGACTATATTGTGGATGTTGTTGTATTCTTCAATTTCGAAAAGTAAAACATTTATAATGATGTTTTGACTTTCCTACAAGAAAAGAAGTAAAGCTCAAATAAGGTAAAAAAAAATTAGGGCTAAAACTCTAATATTTTTAACTATGCTAAATTTTGAAGATGGCGGCGAGTTCCCAAAATTCATTCAACATAAGGTACTGGATACATATACATGGATGTCCAAATATTTGGTGAATTTGTTAAGAAGACGTCGCAAAAAAATATATTAAAAGAGTAGTGATTTCTAATTTTTATTATTAATTTCTTTTAGATAAGTTATAACTATTACTATTTACTCGTATACATATCATAATGTAACGATGTCTTAAATTATCAGATTAAAATTATTTAGACTAATTAATTACTACTCCGTAGTGTAGATTCTAATTTAGTAACTCAGTGAAACTATACGAGTCTATTTTGGATTTTTGTTTATAGTAACACGCTTGTTAAAAAAAGAAGAAGGTGGTTTATTGTTTGGATCGTTTTTACCATTATATTGTGATGTTAGTTGTAAATCGTTGTAGCCGATCGCTCAAAGATAAGTCAATGGAAGGATAAGGGGCTGGCAAAAAAATTGACAGTAATTGAAGATAAACAGAAACTACTTTTTCGGTTGTTAGTTACTCCATAATAAACATATAAACATAATTGATTTGTTCGTATGCCAGTGATGGATATCCTTATCAACTTATTAGGGGCAATTGTCAAGACTATAATATGGTCTTCTGTGTGTTGTGAACTCAAAGCACAATTTTTTTTTCTTTCTTTCTATATAGTGATGATAAAAAAAAATTCATGATTGCTGTAAAAAACATCCATGTCCATATTTTTATGTAGGAAATAACCATAAATTACAGTAGGATGACAAACATGATGTAATAAACGTACCAAACAAACATAGTTAGCATAGATAGGGGTCTATCTTCAATAGGCAATCGAGTAGATCTCCACTAAAAAAAGACAAGAAATACTATCAAAGTAGCGACTTAAAATGTTTAGTTATGAAAGTTAGGATAAATATATGATTTTAGGAAGAAAAAATAGATAAGACCTAAAAGATATTAGATTCAGGGGACAACTTAATATAAGTAAGGGAAAACTAAGTTAACTTTCAGCCATCAACTTAGGTTACTAAGACCGGAAGGCACATTATAAAACATATGTATTAACTTATAACTAACTTAAGTATAATTTGAACATCCAAAACTTGAATAACATGTATAATAATACATATGAAATCACTACTAAGCAACGAAAATGAATGTGGTTGTTTAATTGCTAAGTCGTGGTTGAAACCACATTGGTGGATTAGGAAAAAGTCGTTTGATCCTTCCTTCTTGCATACAATAAATTAATACCCGATTGACGATAAAGGGCTGGAGATTTCTTGTGGAGAGTATCAAGCACATCCACAGTAAAATAGATGCCATTTACAAATTTTTATACATATATTTATGTTCCACACTAAATTAGTAACTATGTATAAAATAAGTATCACACCATCTTGAATACAAACTTAAAGACACGATTTTTTCTTAATATTTTGACGAGAGGGTAAGCGCCCCTCACTTCCAACCCGAAGGTTGCGAGTTGTCTAAATAATCGCAAAGAAAGAAGGAAAAAGAAAACAAGGAAACGTACCAATTATATTACAAAGTTTTAATTGCGAAGTTGTGGTTGAAACCACAATGGTGGATTAGGAAAAGGTCGTTTGATCCTTTCTTCTTGCATTAAGTAAATACCCGATTGACGATAAAGAGTTAAAGATTTCTTGTAGAGAGCATCAATGCCATCCATAGTAAAATAGATGCAATTTGCTTGACATCCATTTCGATCACTTCTTGCAGGAATTGAGAAAGAGTTGCTATTTGGCGACACAAATAGTGCTTGATCATCCAAACTAGTGATAGATTCAAAATCCTTACTTGTTTTAGAGATACCTTGATATCGCTCGATTGTTAATTTACTAGTATGATAGATATGAAGTTCATAATCATCCTCATGTTCAGACAACGGATCTGTGTTGTTCCAAATTATAAGCAACTCCCCCGTAATTGACTTAGCCAAATACACATATCTTAGGCCAGAATAAGCAATAAAGCGAAGCTTATTATCACAAGGCCGAATATGAGGAGCTGTGTTGTGTTTTACTATATCAATTATTTTCATCTTCACTTCACAACAGTCGGTCTTGAGAATGATAACATGATTGATTTCGTCACCGATTCTCTTATCATCCTGACTTGACTTAAAATTGTTAAAATCATCATAATCCTTATTTGAAATAAGAATGTATAACACACCATCATGAAATAACATGCTCTCAGTATTATAGCCGCTAATTGCTCCATCTGCATCAAATATCTTCCACGATCTCTCTTCTTCTTTGACTCCAATATCACAATTACAGAATGCCAAGATTTCTTCATCATTCAGTACATCCCCAAAAACCGTGACAGTTATAAGATTTCTAGTCGGATCATCCGAGATTGAAAATACGTAAACCGTATAGATCATGCATGCTATTCTACAATGCTCCTCAATATATGTTGAGGAGAATGGTATTGTCGTCAATGGAGGGAGTCTGACATCAATTTCTGAAATAGGGTCAAAAAGGAACATATCAGGGTTATGGTCCGGTCCAGCAACAAGAACCAACCAACCATTAGAAGTTGCACAACAGAACGTAACACCATGAGATACCTTAGGATATTTATTCAAGATATGAGTAGGCAATTTGAAAGAATAAAAACGACCCTCACACAAACTATAGAAGTTGAATCCTATATGATCGTTATACACGCAATCTTTTATCTGTAAAAGCCAAGGGGCGGTAAGATGATGTGATGGCTTGAGATGAGCAAGCATTGATCTCCATGACTTGCAAACGAGAGTCATACGTACATAGTCACCAATGCCAACTCTTTTCAGTATCATGTCCATGATATCTACGAGGGTCTCTTCTTGCCATATGCTTCTAAGGACCATTATTTGGTTGCGATTAAAATATAAGCTAAGGTATAGTTATAAAATCTAGGCTAGTACTTATGAATGTATTTATAAAGAGAGCAACAAATATAATCCTAGACGGTCTGAAAAATCCTAATTTGATAGTAACTAGGAAAAGTAAATACCACTATACCTAATTTGATACTCTTTTGGTTTAAAAAACAGGTTCCTCTTTTGGCAACAATTTAATATCAGCTTTTTACACGTGACATGTTTAAGATTATAAAATTAAAGTGCATTTTTGTATATTTGATATAACTTTAATTTAGGACTACAAAATTAAAAAATCTTTTATTTTATTTTTTAAACTCTTTATAAGTCAAACTAAGTATTTTTTTCTTTCTTCTTTTTATTTCCTCATGTCTTTTTCTTTTTTTTCCTCTCTCTTTCTTTTCCCTTTCCTCTATGGAATAAGTTTGTAGTTTGTATACGATAAACTACGTGTGACCTTTCCCTTTTTTACCCCCCCCCCCCCCCCCCCTCTTTTTGCCTCTCCAGCAACAAAATAATATGAGTAAAGTATTCCCTTTATTTGACTATTTCATATTAGCATAATTTTTGGGCCTATTTTCATTGTTTAAATAATTAAATTGTTTAAAATTTAAGATAGATATTTTAATATTTTCATTCATATTTATCCTTTTCTGTAATGAAGTTTAATTTGATATTTTCTAGAAGATAAATTGTACTACTTACACAGTTATATTTATGATTTTACAAAGGATAATAATGAAAAATATGATTTAAATTATGTCATTGAATGTTTTTTTTAATAAGTGTGTATTGTCTCATATATTTTGTTAATATGGAATTAAGTGAGTACTATTTTTTCATATCACTTCAAGTTTATTTGTAAATAAAATAAAATAAATAAATAGCACCTCTAATTTTAATATGTTAATTACAACTTAAAAGTAATCTTAATAATTTTTAAATATTATGTACGTACTAAATTGGAAAATGATAAATGCCTTCTTCTTTCAGTACTTTCTGAACTCTGAAAAGATGAGCTCGGTACTCAAATGAAAAATAGTGAATTTTTAAAATAAATTTATGAGATAATTTTTAACTAGAATAATGAGTTTGATAATTTTTTAAAAATAAATAAAGAAACTATTTATTATTCTAATCATGGTTAGACCTTAATTTAGGTAATTAAATTTTAATATTTGATTCTTAATTATGACATGTGACTGTTATCTAAGTAGGTACTTGGAGAAATGTAGAGAATGAGTAATGAAGAGGAGTCCCTTCTGTTTCTATGTTTCTCTTAATTTATTCTGTTACTATTTGCTTAGTATTTAGTGATAATTATTTATAAATTAAATCTACTTAAATTCATTGTTAAGCCTGTTTAATAACTCAACCTCGAGGTGAAGATCACATATAATGTTTATGTGTTTTCACTTATATTTGAGTTCGTTTTGATTGAGCTAAGTTTATTTATTAATTACAATAGGTGGAGATTTAAAGAGGGGATATTAATATATTAATTAATGGTTGACTTTAATTTATGTAGAATTTAAACTCTATTGGTTCAATTTTTATGAATCCTTTTTAAAAAATATTTAGGATTATTTATATTGAATTCAATTTTTAAAAAAAATTAAAGTACTTATTTTAACAATTTTTTACTTTTTATCTCTTCTCACGTTTTTTTTTTCTTTGCTTGATATTTGTCACTCCATTTGGTAAGTTATATGACTTCCACTTTGTAGGATCTATAGAAAGAAATCGACGAATTGTATACCTTATATTTCGCAGCGAAAGTCGATTGCTCCAAAGTCTTGCATTGAATCACTAGGAAGCAAAGTTTGATTCACAAACTAAATGTCTATCCTCAGACATAAGAAGTTATTTTTTTTTCTTCTGATTTGTGTTATCTTTTGTTGTTTTTTTTTTGTACGTTGTCTGTCTCTTTTTGACTGTAAAGGAATAAATCCTTTTATTAAGAGGAGTTGGGAAGTTTTCAATTTAATAACTGTTTCTCCCTTCTTTTTCAAATAAGAGATAAGTAGTTCTTATCTCTTATCAGACAATTTCTTGGGTCGGTCCACGTGAGCGACCCACGACCCAAAACTTACATACTTTTTGGTAGAGCTGTCAATATGGGCTGGCCCACCCCATCTGGGCTAACCCATACAAGCTTTGAAATTTTACGGGCTAGCCCATTTTTTGTGTGGGCCAGGAAATGGTCGGCCCAGCCCATAAGTACGTGGGCTACGGACTTTGCCGGGCCTGCCCTCTTTTTTTAGAAGTAATTTTTTTATAATTTTTTAAATTAAAATTTAATTTAAAAATATTATCATAAATATCGACAAGACAATATTACATGGTGTTAGTGTTACTACTTGTTAATCAAATCAAACAAATAAAATTATCTTTATAATATTTATTAAGTTTTGATTTCTAAAAAGCATAAATAGCTAAATAGAAATATTAACCTAATTGTTTTCCAATGATCATAATAAAACACAAAAACTATGACAACATTCCCTAGGTTACGACCTATTTAGTGATTCCCTAGAGATTTTAGGAAAAATTTATTTTATATAGTACATATTTTATAAATATAATTTATATTTAAATTGTAATATTTCAAACTTTTAATAGATTTTGAGTTTAGACTCTTGTAATTTTTAATACTCTATTTTATTTTTATTTAGCCCACGGGCCGGCCCTATCCATAGTTCTCAAGCCCCACAAATCGGCAGACTTATTCAGGCTGAGCTAAAAAGCCTTTTTCTTAAATGGACTCCAAAAATCGTAGTTCAGCCCTATCAAATCACGAGTTAGGCCAGGCCGGCCCTACGGGCCTAGCCCATATTGACGGCTCTACTTTTTGGAAGAGGCTCCTCTTCATTACTCATCCTCTCCATTTCCCTAAGTACCTACTTAGATGGTAGCTACATATCATAATTAAGAATCGAAAATTAAGATTTAATTACCTAAATTAAGGTCTAACCAGAATAACAAATACAATAATTTCTTTATTTACTTTTAAAAAAATGTCAATTCGATAATTCTAGCTAAAAATTGAAAAAAAGATGTAGAAGCTTTGTTGTTTCAGTACTCTGCGAACTCTGTTCCGAGTGAGTGTTATGGGAGAAGAGTTTAATCCCAAACCAGAGATTACTCCATTTTGAAGAGCAGTTTCAATTTGATGTCTATACTTCATCCATGGCTGTTTCAACCCTTTGTTGTGCAATCACCTAATACTATGGTAAACCCCTTTTTGTTTTGTTTTGTTTTGAATTTCCCCTTTTTCTATCAGTATATGGTTTTGTCTCCGCTACTTAGAATGGAAAGAGATTTTCCAACCCTATGAAAGTCATCACAAATAGGAGGTAAATAACTTGCATTTCTGTAACATAAAAAGAGATGACAATTGACAAAGAACAATTATAAAACTATTCTCATTCATTGTATTCGATGAAGCTGTCGAAGCATATAAAACTAATCTAGAACGCATACAGATGAAATGGCCAGGTCTTGGTAGCCAAACTGTCTATTGTTTTTCATACATCCGCACCTACTGTTACATTCTAGCAAGTGTTACTAACCAAAAATCCGTCAGTAGCTCAAAAGAAGAAGTCAAGCATACAATGTTGCTGGCTCCTTCGCCCAATTACTTGTACCAGGCCCTTGGAACACTGAAAACACTAGAATCATATGCCCGTTACTATCCCTTATAACTCCACCAGCCCCACACATACCCTCCTCAATACAACTACCATCACTGTTTAGTTTGTAGAACAAAGGTTGTGGCTTGATCCATTTCACCAATTTATAGACCTGATGAACCATTGGAGTATCGCCAAATGCTGCCCAAAATCACAAAGTTTCAGCTTGCAATATGCATTTGCTAAAATTTTCTTTGGCTTCAAATCTTGATGGAACACGTTTCCTGTTGAATCAATAAATTAGAAATAAGCCACAAAATATGTAAAATAGAAATCTAACTAAAATACCAGAAAGAAAAATGAGGGACAGCCACCTGTATGCATATATTTTAAACCTTGAAGAAGCTGATACAAGAAAAATTGATAATGTTCAGGCGTGAGACTGCCGTTGGCCTTAATGACATGCTGAAGTTCACACTCCATCAACTCGAAAACAACATATGTATCCTTGAATTCTCTCGGACATGGAAGTAATAGTATATGCTTTATTTCTACAATGTCTGGGTGTCGAAGCAACCTTGGGAGCTTAAATTCTCTAAGAATACGGGTGGCTTCAGAGACATGCTCAAGAACATTGTTGATCTTCTTTATAGCTACCTTCTTTCCTGTATGAGTATCAACTGCTGATGCAACAACACCATAGCTCCCCTTTCCAACAACTTCTTGGATTTCATATCTACTTTCTTTATTCTCACACTTAACTAAGCACCAGACAATTCCTATAATTGCAATCCCTTTGTTAAGACCTTTAGGTAAGAGATCCATGGTTACTCTGTTGTATGAAGGATTCACTGCGAGAGAAAACACATTAATTAACTCAACAATTAGAGAAATAAGGCGCTGACGATATCCTGAAAAGCAGAGTTTCACAATTTCATTCTAATGTCTTAACAACTTCAAACTGAAAATTTAAGGCGTTGACGATATCACTTTAATCTCCCGTTTCTTGAAAGATTCTTTATACAATAACCACAATCAATTAAATCATCTTACCTGAGGTCGATTTTCTGCACAAATTTCTTTTCGAATCTACTTTTTGATAATCTTGAGTAAAAAGAAAAAATAAACGGAAAGAAATAACGCTACTCAAGGTAACATAAACAAAGATAGAAAGAAAGAATCAAAATAAAAAACGTTAGAAGAAAAAGCACTAGAACATGATCAATTTTTGGATTATTTTTGGGAATTTTTGCAGAAAATGATATTCTTTTTGGAGTCCTATCCCGGAATCCTTTATGGAATTTTCTCCCCATTTGTAATTAGTTCATCTGAAGTTGGAATGAAGCTGAAAAAGTG